GTAGCGTGTTGTAATGCTTTTGTTTCAGCGTACTTCGTCAAATAGTCGGTTGCTACTACGATCCACTTGTTCTGGCACATGATAGTGAAAAGGGCCCCAGTAAATCCATTCCTATTTGATCAAATGGCGCTCTAGGTGGGCCTATTGGTTGAAAAAGCCCCGTGGGTTTTAGTGGCGGGGTTTTTGGGCATTAACATTCCCGGCAGCTTTCAACGTATTGCTTTACGGATGTGGAAAGCTTAGGCCAGTAGTACGCTTGTTGAACTCGAGTGAGAGTTCGAGAGGATCCCAAGTGACCAGATGTGGGCTTATCGTGGCAGGCGACAAGAATGTCGTCATGCATGTCAGTTGGCACAACTAGAAGATAGTTTCTCTCATTGCCGTTGGAGTTTTTCTTATACAGGACTTCATCTAGCAGACAAAACGACGACAGACCTCGAGAAATACATTGAGGTATGGAAGAGTTGCGCCCTTCAAGCTTTTCGATAACTGCGCGAATTTTGTCGTCCGCGCGCTGTCGTGTAGTCAGATCCGTTGTAGTAAAGGCCCCAAGGAAACCACCGTCACCCTCAGTGTCGTGGACACAAACTTAGACAGGTGCACGGGACAATGAATCAGCATCTTCGTGCTTGCGACCCGATTTGTAAGCGATCTTGAAATCGTGTTCCTGCAGGCGAAGAGTCCTTCGTGCCAGTCGCCCACACTTGTCCCGTAGGTTGGCTAATTAGTACAAAGAATGATGGTCGGTCACTACCTTGAAGTGGCGTCCGTAAAGGTAAGGCCTAAATTTCATTGTTGCCCATACAACAGCGAGGTATTCTTTAAATTGATATAGCAGTTCACGTAGCTTGGTCTGTTGTTGTTCCGGTAGGGGCGAGTTGACATTGACTTTTGCAAGTAGTGAAGTCACGTCGCTTGGTGTCGGTCGAAGCCCGTTCTCGGTTGATGTAGATGCGAAGCATTCAGAAACGTCTGCGATAGAATAGGGGTAAACGATGGCGGTGTCACGAAACAGGTGCTGGTACTCTTTACTGAAATTCGTCACAAGTAAGGCGCAGTTTCCGTCATGAAGCATGACGAGGCTGCGTGCAGCGCAGACACCTAGCGCGAACAAAAGCACCAAGTTGCCTTCGGTGACAACCTCACCATCCCGTAACTTGTCGGAAACCACATCAACTAGGACGCTTGAACGCGTAGGCAACGTGCAGCTGTCGGCAGAAACGCGAAACATGCTGTCACGGATGTCGTCAGATTTGTCGGAAGATCCAGCTGTCAAAAACATCACAGTGCGCTCTCAAACATCGATTATAGCACCGTGCTCCCGCAAAAAGTGGACTCCCCGGATTAGGTCTCGGAAACAGTCACGAAGTACGAGGCAGCTGGCGAGAAACGTACGTCCCCGAATGCTCATACTGATAGTGCACATGCCGTATGGGGTGACTACGTGCCCGCCGGCCGTACGAATTTGTGCTTCGTACCAAGGCATAACAACTTTCTTTATGTGCGCTGCTAGTTTCCCGCTCATGATCGAGTAGTCCGCACCTGTGTCCAATAATGCACTAACGTCGTGGTGACCGTCGACTACCACATGTATATCCAAAGAAAATCTGCTTCTGGCTTACGTCGCTGTCGTCAGGGAATCGCTCCGGGTCTATGCTTGCGTCGGTGGGAGGCCTTCCTTGCGCCGAGTGTCAGCGGTCTCGCTCCCGAAGGTCGCCGTCGTTAGTTTTCCCGCCTAGGGCTTGGCGAGCGCGCCGGCGCCGCTTCTGGGAGGCTCCGAAAATTTTGAGAAGATCGCCTTGGGGATGGGTACCACGGCTGCCGCCGCAGTGGCATGAACTGTTGTGAAAGGTATTCTTTAACAGCTTTCGATCTTTCGCCGAATCTCGGCCGTGGCAGTCGACGGCAACACCCTGTAGTCCGAGGCGACGATAGGGACATTCCCGGTACACATGTTCAGTTTTACCACAGTGATAACACAGTGATCATCTGTCTGGTGTGCGCCTTACGCCAGATTTTTTGGGAAGCGGCTGTCGATTTTCCAAGTGCTGAATCGTCTGCAGCAAAGGAAGTGCACCCCGAGGCAGAGAATTAACGAAGCGTTGTCGGCCATTCATATGACAAAGGAGTAAGATTTTGTAAATGCCACTCCTAGCCATAAGCGATGAAGAAGGGTGGCTTCTCTTCAGTCGAGTCCAGTGGGCATGCGGAGAGCCATCAAAGAGGACAGGTGGTGTTGACGATTCGTATCGATGCTTGGTGGGCACCATAGTGAAAACATGATTTCACGCGCAAGTCGCCGAAGATTACTGGCAGCATCGGTCCGCGAAAGTGGTATGGCTTCTTCTCGTGTTCCTTCAAGGGCTGCCCGCGCGGCAGTATCGGCATGTTCGTTCCCTATGATGCCGCAATGACTTGGCAGCCATTGAAGCGTCACATGATGCCCTTTCTCGAGTAAAGTGTGGAGAAGGCATCGAATTTCGAAAACAAGCTGTTCGTACGGGCCGCGACGCAGTGCTGAGAGCACAGATTGTAGGGCAGTCCTTGAGTCGCTGAAAATCGACCATTGTTGCGGTGGTTGCCGATTGACCACACAAAGTGCAGCTCGCAAAGCAGCTAGTTCCGCTGCTGTAGATGCCGTAGAGTGGTCAGTCCTAAAGCTGATGGTAACACCTCTTGCTGGGATAACTACTGCCCCTGACGAATACTGGTGGTTCGTGGAAGCATCGGTGTATACATGTATGCTGTCTAAATATTTCTCGTGCAAAAGCAGAAGAGACAGTTGTTTCAGCACGGACGACAAAAGCTCAGATTTCCTCCGAATCCCTAGTACACTAAGATGAAATGTGGGTCGAATAAGACACCAAGGTACTATAGATGGTTTAGATGCATGAGTGAAGCCTGAGGGAAGTTTATCGTTTTATTTCACAATCATTTTGGCGAACAATGTTTGGCGCCTCTCTGAAGGCAACAGTTGAAGGTGATGGCAGGAAGCACGTGCGAAGTGTTTGACGTGCGTTCTCAGGACTTCTACAACAATGTGAGTTTGTATCGGATAGTCCCAGCGATTGCAATTGTTGCTTCTGTTGACATACATCTGGGCAGACCGAGGCACACTCTCAGCGCTTGAGCTTGTACTGCCTGTAAAACACGAACATTGGTCTTGCAGGTATTGCTAAGCACGGGCAAGCTATATCTGAGAAAACCGAGAAACAGGGCCCTGTAGAGCTTCATCATTGCGTCTACTGACATCCCCCACGTCTTTCCTGCCAGGAACTTGAACAGTTGGGAAATAGCGGTCAGGCGCTTCTTCATATAGGTCACATGCGGACTCCAACAGAGGTCCCTATTAATAATGATGCCCAGAAACCGGTGGGCTTTGGAGTAAGAAATCGGACGCCTGCAGATTGAGATGACATAAGGGGTTATTGATTTGCGAGTGAAAGCCACCAGCGTGCATTTTTCTGGTTATATGCTGATATGACAGTCTGTCATTTATGGCGAGGAGTGAAAGAGAAGCTTTTCGCTATCCTCGTTCGCTGTTTCGAAAGACTGTGGCGGAATTTTCGGTCAAAAATTCCGCCACAGTCTTTGGGGGACAGCGAACGAGGCTAGCGAAAAGCTTCTCTTTCACTCCACGCCGTAAATGACGGACCTTTGTTTCTTCCGCCATGTAGTGGTCAGCTCGACGAAAGAGGCTCGTCATGTCCTCGACGTACATCATGATACTTTCATTCGGCATTTGGAGGCGTGACTGAATTGCTCGCTCGGCTCGTTCACGGCGATGGGGATTGGTCCAACTTGCCAGCAAGTATCGACGAAAGACGCTCCACGAGGGAAAGGCTCATGGTTTTCGTACCAAGTACGAGCGCCGTCCTCCAAGCTGAAACACACGTTTCTCATCTTGTCGAAATTGATCCAACCTTTGTGATCGAAGACCCGTTCGAACTGAGCCAGCCAGTCTTCGACATACTTCAGGACGGAACCATGGAAAACTTTCGGCACACTTGGCTTTCACAGCGTATGAGGCGTGGCTGCAGCGCTTTCCAGGTCGTTGGAGACGGCAGCGCCTTGCCTAGCGTTCGGGGGTGTGACAGACGTCATCTCAGAAAGAGGTCCACGCTCAGGAGGTAGTCGTGGGAGTCTTCGGCTTGAGCGGTGAACAGGTGTGGTCACTGCGAGTACAGGGCTACCTGGAGGTTTTTGGAACGTAGGCTGGGGATTACCCAGCTGCTTTATCAGTCGTCACGTGCTACAAGAGGGCTTCAACATGGAAGAACTGAGCCGGCGGGGAGGCGCACCGAAAACTAGCAAGATGGCTGCTTCAATGATCAACAACCAACCAGAGCGCGCGCTGCTTCAAAGCATCGTCTTCCATTCTAGCGGGCAGCCATAGCTTGAGCTTGCGGTACCTAGCGGCCAAGTGGCAATATGTTGTGAATTACGCCATAATTACTACATCGCAAATAAAAACTACAACTAGGGCCCTCTACGAATTTTTGGCAGAAGTGGCTGTTGAACTCAACTGGTTCTACGAATGCAATGTGCCTTTTGTACAATGGGCATCACTTCAAATTTTCTACTTTGTGTTTCTACTTTCTACTATCAGCAAACATAATACCTACATGACACTAAAATATACCTATATATTACCTGCCTACAAATGATACCTACGTTCACTAAAATAATGCCGACATGACATGTACAAAAATATACAGAAAAGGTGGTGGGCATATATTTCTTCTATTTTATTATATGTTAAGAATTACCATAAATATTACATCGTCGCTAAAAACTACAACAAGGCCCTCTACGAAATTTCGGCATTAGTGTCCGTTGAACTCCATTGGTTCTACCAAAGGAATGTGCCTTTTGTTCAGTAAACATCACTTTAGTGTTACTACTCCGTGTTTGAAAAGAGATGACAATCAGCGAAGACTTTGATGAAACGTTGTTGTTGAGTACATTAATCAATCCTGATTGTCGTGTGGTCTTTCCAGGGTTCGGTCCATCCAACACTGCATGCATTGATGCCTCGTCCTGGCCACGTAAGTACTCTTTGTTAATACTATGTACTCTATATTGGATGTTCCGAGAAGGCCTAGCATCTTATCAGAACAGCTGGCGAATAGCGCATGAGAGAATGCAACGCTATTCATACCGGAATGTATATGCCCCATCGCTCAAGCAACGTGCGTATTCATGCCAAAATGCATTGAGTGTGAACAAGACCTTAAATACACCACGGCGCGGACTGCAGTGAACCTTGTGACTTGAAGCCAACCCCTACAAAATTGTCGTTCAAATCTGTCATTCAAGTATGCCGTTTATAAAAATGAGGTGCAGTTCTTGTATGTGCTGCTATAGTTCTGTGTACAGTGTAAATGATGCGATAGTGTTGCCACTAAGGCATTGGCTTAGTCGCCGATCCTTCGCGAAAGGATGCGCTAATGCAATTTTTCCATATGTCCCGGTGCAATCCTGTATTCAGCTATTAGGCTAGCTCTATTACCGTCAAAAGTAAATAAATGCATCATGCAAGTATCCATGAAATTTTTTCAGCGATTGCACGCTTGCGAAAGTGAAAGGGTCCTCTCACCACCAGAGCGTACCAGCTAGACTATTCAGAAGCGGTGTTCGCTATTTAGAAGAAAAAAAATGTCATCATTATCTTTTGGTTATGTTTACAATTATTTTGTGTAAAGGCTTATTAGTGTATATTAGCACATGGGAAAAACAAGACAGAAAGGTTGAGCAGAGATAGGGCACCACTACAACACAGATTGAGGCTTACTTACCCTTGCGGACTACGAGACAGAGGGTAAAGGAAAAAACAAAAACAGCTGTGCAGAGGAAGCAAATGTAAGGTGAATCACATTGGACCACCCCTCGTAACAGATAATTCGGCATTTGAATGCATCCAAGGTTCATACAACCTGTCCATGGTGTCGAAATTGGCCAACATAGAGTTACAGCTCAATCTATAGATTCAAACTTGCTAAGACAAACATTTTGTTTATTGATCGCCTGTGGTGTGAATTCTTGATCTTTACGCTATCCTCATTTCAGCCTGGGTCAGATAAGAGTCCCGGAACTATCATACCTGGCCCAACTCAGGCAAGTGTTTCATCGTAATGGATGCTAAGTGACACGTCTTACGTTTACAGAGCGTCAAGCATATATATATATATATATATATATATATATATATATATATATATATATATATATATATATATATATATATATATATATATATATATATATATATATATATAATGAAACAGGGTGTTAGCAAACGAGAGATTTATTTAGCGCAAGAGCTAACTGATTGCGAGCCCCCGATCACAGTGCGTCTTCTTCTTTACTCGAGCTCTGTGTCCACTGCCCCCGTTATAATCAACCCCGGGCGACAAGGGAACCATCCTGGTGACCTAAGGACAGGTGTACGCGCATAGTGGTCATAGTACGGCTTGAGCCGAGAGACGTGTACGATTTCTTGTCCCCAACGGCGCTTGTCCGGATATGCGTCCAGTGGCTCGAAAAGGTAGTTTATAGGGGATGTTTGGCGTACAACTCGACAGGAACTACAGTACCTGGACGAAAGCTTCTGACATTCTTCAGAATGTGCTGCTGCTCGTGAAACAGTTGTCAACTCTGAAGGGTTCGGTCGATGAGGAAGAATAGTATCCATTTTGATGATGGCTCGCGTCCACAGCGAAGTAAGAAAGGCGAAAATCAAGTGGTCGTTTGCGTTGCAGTGTTGTAGGAATATCTCACAAAAGACAGTATGCTATCCCAATTTGACTGCTGGGATAAAGCGTACATGACCAGCATATCTCTAAGTGTACAATTAAAACGCTCTGTCATCCCATTAGATTGCGGATGATAGGCTGTGGTAGTGCGGTGTGATGCGACACTCACTCAACAACGCTTAGATGGCATCGGAGAGAAAAACGTGGCCGTGATCGCTCAGTAACAGCCGGGGTGCTCCATGGCTTAAAACAAGGTTTTGAAGTATAAAACATGAAACGTCGTTTGTGGTAGCAGAAGGTAACGCAGCTATTTCAGCGTACCGCGTTAGGTGGCCGATAGCGACAATGACCAAGTGGTTGCTACTGGAAGTATAGGGAAGCGGACCGTAAAGGCCGATTCCGACACAATCAAAAGCCCATGTTGGACATGGCAACGGCTGCAAAGGACCTGTGGTATGTTGAGTGGGCGTCTTGCACGCAAGGCAAAACGCAAGGCAAAACCTTACGTAACAGCGAATGAAACTGTACATACCACGACAGTTGTACTGCAGCTGGAAGCGAGTGTATGTTTTTAACACGCCCGCGAAGCCACATTGCGGATCATCGTGGAACGTGGCGAAGATGCCAAAGCGGAGATGTCGGGGAATGACAAGCAACAACTTACGGCTGGTCGAGCTGTGATTTCGAAGGTAAAACAGTTTATCCAGAATAGCGAAGTGTGGTGTTTGGCAGCAAAGCATCCTGGAAACTGTAGCGGGTGACCGGTTTGAGAGGAAGTTCAAAAGGCAAGAAATCCAAGCGTCTTTGCTTTGCTCAGAAGTTATATTCGAAATGCTGATGGTCAAGACAGCACTGGTGGAGATAGGCGAGCAGACGAACTCTGAAGCCAACGGCGAGCGTGACAGGGCATCGGCATTGAAATGCTTTCGGCCAGAACGGTAGAAAACAGGGATATCGAATTCCTGTAACCACAATGTCCAATGAGCGAGCGGACCATTAGGGTCTTATAGTGAAGATTCCCAGCAAAGCGGATGGTCTGTCACAATATCAAACGGACGTCGATATAAATAAGGCCAAAATTTTCCGATTGTCCAAATGATGGCGAGGCACTCCTTTTCAGTGACACCGTATTTCTTCTCGGCTTTACTGAGGTTGCGGTTGGCATAGGGAACAACGTACTCGTCAAAGCCATCTTTGAATTGGTTCAGTATTGCCCCTAGCCTGATACGTCTAGCGTCTGTATGAAGCTACGTTGGAGCAGATGGATCGAAATGTAGGAGTATGGGGGCGTAGTGAGGAGCCATCGGAGTTCCTGAAATGAACCATCACACACCTGCGACCACGCTGACACATCAGAACGTCCGGCAAGATTGCTCAAGGGGGCGATAATAGAGGCGAAATTCCAGACGCAGTGCCGGAAGTACGAACATGGGCCGATAAAGCTTCGGAGCGCTTTGATGGTGGTTGGTTTGGGGAACGCCGCGACTGCGCGAAGTTATGTAGGGTCCGGAAGAATGCCGTCATTAGAAACCACATGGCTAAGAGGATTACAAGCTTGCGAGCGCCGAAGTGGCATTTCTTCAAGTTAAGTGGAAATCCCGCCGTGGAAAGGCACGTAAGAACTTGCTCGAGGCGGCTGAGGTGAGTCGCAAGGTCACTTGAAAGTACCCCAATATCGTACAAATAGCACAGGTATGTTTTCCAATTCGGACCTTGCAAGATGGTATTCATCATCCTTTCAAAAGTGGCAGGCGCATTGCAGAGGCCAAAGGGCATAACGGTGAATTCATATAGTCCATGCGGTATTACAAATGCTATTTTTGGGTGGTCATCCTCTGCCATGGCCACATGCCAGTAGCTGGAGCGTAAATCTAATGAAGAAAAGAACTTTGCTTCATGTAGGCAGTCCAAAGCATCATAAGTGCGAGGCAGAGGGTATATGTCTTCGCACATTATCTTGTTGAGCTGGCGGTAGTCAACGCACAACCGAATGAATCCATCTTTTTTCTTGACCAGAACAACCGGTGAAGCCCCAGAGACTGTTGGAGGGCTTGATGATGCCACGTTTCAACATGTCGTCCACTTGTTCGTCAATGACATGGCATTCAGCAGATGACACACAGTACGGACGCTGTCTTAGCGAGGCTTGTTGACCGGTGTCAATACGGTGAACTACCGCAGAGGTTCGGCCTAAACCTGACTAGTCACGACCGAATGAAGAGCGAAAACGAAGCAGAAGATGTATAATTTCTTGCCGCTGAGTTGTTGTGAGTTCAGAGTGAAAGGCATCCGAGAAGACGTCCAGAACGTCATTAGGTGCGTTGGTAGGAGTAGCAGCACAAATTCTCCCAGGCATTCTCCACGTAGTAGAGATGACGGGCTGTCTGAGGGATTGTACACATAAATGGCAGCGTGACCGTTGCGAAAAACGATGACGGCAAATGTAAGTTTGAAATTTCGACGGCACGCAGATGTGACCGATGGCATAAACAACACAGGCAATTTCGGAAGAGCGGCACACGACAACAACAGCTGGAAAAGATGCAGTGTCAACGTCAGAAGCAGCAAGCACTTTACACGAAGCGCCATCGTCGGGGTCATAGCACGGTGCAGATAACGCGAGTTCGCATCGAGCACAGTCGACCAAAGAAGAATTTGACGAAAGAGAGTCCCACCCAAAGATAACTTCATGCGAAGAACGGAATAAAACTACGAATGCAACGACGTACATTGCACCTTTAATGACGACTCATGCAGTGCACAAAGCTGAAGGCTGAACTTGGTGGGACGTAGCTGTGTGCAAAGATAGGTCGGTAAGTTCAGTGGTCACTTTTTCAAGTTTCACCACAGTTTCCCGCTAAGTAGAGATATGGCAGTTCCAGTGTCAACAAGTCCGTTAACCTTAATGCCATTATTATAGAGTTCAATTTCATTCGGGGGACAGCCGCTAGGTCTTCAGACTTTCGCTGCCAACGCAGTTCTTGCCTCCAGAACTGCCCCCGTCTAATTTTCTTTTGTGGTGGGATGCTGCAACGCAACATTGGAGAAATATATCGGCGACGAGGAAAAGGCGGACCGCTTGAGCCGGATGGTCGGCGACCGGGACGTACGTCTAGAGGTTAATCGGTGGATCGGCAGGAACGGTATATCGCGGCAGAGTGGGCCTGTAGTGTGAGGCCCCAGCGATGTCTTGAGAAGTGAAGCTGTGACGGCGGCAGTGACGAGCTATGTAGTATGGGGTGCCACATGAAAAAACCTATTGGCCGATTATCCGGAGTGCGCCATTGGGTGACGGTAGGGGCACTGTTCGCTGAATAACGTACCGTAAACGGTCGTGCAGGTAGCGGCGTCATATAAACGTTCCGAGTTGTTTTGTATACAGCTGGAGACGGGACGGTCAATGGGCTGACAAGTGGCGTCGACGAATAAACTTGGCCATTTGCTTCGTAGATAGCCGGAGATAATGGAGAACTTGGCTGAACAACAGCGGCTGCATATGCTAGTCGTGCGGAAACAGATGGTGGAGCCTGAGCTGGCAGCAATGCTTCGGCAACTTGCTATTCAATGACCTGGCGAAGCGAAGACGACAAGGGTGCCATCAGCTCGGTAGTTTTTGTGATTATAGACAGCTACGAAGAGACCTCCTAGCGTGTGAATTGCTTTATGAGTTGCATCAACGCAGAGTGGTCGGCAGTGTCATGTCGATAGTCGAGGAATGACAGAACCGCGGTGTCTTGAGCAGTGCAACGTGTGGAAGTGCGCTGCCTACGCCGCTGATCATAGCTCTGGCAGAGCTGAGCCGAATAACCTGGGCGGCCATCTGGGGACTCTTCGCAGCAAGCATTTGGAATACCATGTCATCAATTCCTTCCATGATGTTCTTCACCTTGCCTGCCTCGTCCGGAGTCGAGTTGACGAGCTTGCAGAAAAAGAACACATATTCGATGTAGGTCGCGAAAGTCTCTTCTGTTCTCTGTTTTATGCCACGCAAGCGCTGTTTAGCACGAAGGTGGCGGACAGCAAGACGGCCAAGGACTTCCGAGAAGGTTTTTGATAATTCAGACCAGGCACTGAAATCACTTTGATAATTCCCGCACTATAGTTTCACCACGTCGGTCCGGTAAAAACTCATATGTGAGGTCATCAGCTGCGTTACACTTATTGTACGCGCTCACGAGCTCATACTCGGCCATCCAGTTGTCCACATCTTGGTCCTCTGTGCCAGCAAGTATGAGGGGTTGCGCTGCCGGAGAGCGCCAGTGCAGAAAACAGGTACGGGAGCGAGATCTCGAGTGGCGGCCTGAGACGTCCCCGGATCAGTCATTGCAGAAGGTAGTTGGAGTGTACGGCTGC